CAGGAAGACAGTGTTTCTACCTCCCCCATCTTGAGTTTGCTCACAGGTCCCAGTCTGTAATTTTAGAAAGACTGGGGGGAAAGAACCCCAAATTAAAAAAACAATACAGGTCTAGACAAAACTGAAGCTGAAGAATTTAAGTAATTATATAATAAAAACAAGCTCCAAACTTCAGGGTATCCAACATCGTACTGGATGATTTATTAGATACAGCTGGGACATACTGGGCAAGACAAGTTACAGGTGCAGCAAAAATTTCCAGGATTTTTTGCAGATATAGCCAAAATAAAGCTAAAATGGCTTCAATATTGGAAAAGTCCACACAAGATCTGAGAAATACCAAGGCTTGCTATGTTTTTTATTGTTATAAAGGTTGATGCCTGCAACACAAAGTAGAGCTTGGGAGGGACATTACTGATGTGCAGATCTTTGGAGGAAAACAGGCTATTAGTTCACACCCACAAACAAGGAGACCACCACTAATGCACATGCATTAGTATCTACTCCGGGTAGATTCCACATGAACATTCCACATTCATCTTAATATATTTCTTTAATCTGGAATGAGTGGGCAGAGAAATGGCAAACTGTGTACAGGCAAGATGGTTAGGGGGGAAAAAAATCTGTTTGATGAAGAATGCTATTGAAAGGGAAAAAATAAATATCATCTAGAGTGGTTCTAGCACTGTTTCTTAAGAATGTATGTCCATTAATTCTTCTTTTAAGCTTTTATTTTAGTTGCTTACACCTTTGCATGAGGTTAAGCATCGTGGATGAAGGTTTTATATGTGCCAAATGTCGGCCAAAGAGTAGAACTTTGTAAAGGAGAAGACCAGGGACGTTACCTTGCTTTGCCCTTGTTAAAAAGCCCTTCCTGGGGAAGTCCTGCATGTCCCAGTTGAATGCTGCCTCCCTCTTGCAGGGATGGTGGACATACAACACCACACCTTCACTGGGATCCTGAGTAGCATCTTCTGGAGCACTGGAAACATGCTGCTGGCCTTGGCAGCATACTTGGTGCAGGAATGGCACTGGCTCCATGTAGCTGTAACAGGACCTTGTCTAATGAGCATTGTCTGCCTGTGGTGAGCACAGCAACTAGGCAGCTGGTGGGAACAGGAGTGGGCTATGATTTGCCTCCTCTGCTCTGTGAGTGTGGTAATCATCACAACACTGATCCTGGGGTTGGCTCCAGCAACCCCAAGAAGAGCAGGCTCATCTGTGTCCAGCACTCAAATTGCTCATGCATGGCAGCTCTTGAAAACTGGAGTGGCCTGGGTTTCATGTCTCCTCATTTCCAACAAGACCAGGAGCCAAGGTCACACCACAGCCCTGGGGACAAGGAGGAGGCAGGACTTGGGCCAAGGTCAGGCATTTGGATGACAGGTTGCAGCAGGATTTGGTGCTGCAAGTACTGTCAAACATGGCTCAGAGCCAAGAAAACAGATCCCAGTGAAGGCAGGCAGGACCAGATCCCTGGCTTGAATCCCTAGTAGATTCAAGATTAATAATTTATCCATCCTCTGTCCCTGCCTCACTGGAGAGGATACTTTTGGCACCAATTTTTCCATGTAAGCCAATGACACATGCAGGCTAGGTCAGGTCCACTTATCTCTGCACTTCCCATGGCATTTCTCAGCTGTGTAACCATCCCAATGGGCCAAACCCCCTTGTTTTCTGTGGGCTGTTTCCCTCAGGTAGCAATATTTAGGAAATACCTGACATCTCCTAATCCTTAAAATGGAAGATGGTTCATTTAATCAAATAAACCAATTTTTCTGCTTTTTCTTTTCATCTAGTACCACAGACTAGAATACAGTCAGTTCACTGACACTGTGACTGTCATGTGAAGTGAATTGGATCCATGAACTCTATGATTAAAAAACAGTCCTTTGAATAAGTAGGTCCATTTCCTGCCTGGAAAAAAAGGTCTCATGCTGAAATAAGCAAGCAGATGTTCCCACAACTGCCTTCTGAAAACATTCAGAAATGGGGGGCTGTGTCGCTTTCGCCTTAGGGTGGTTGCTTAGTTCCTCTTGGACACCAGTGTGGTGCTGGATCACACTGCAGAAATCACAGACGTGTCTCTCAGGGTGACAAGGAGCTCCAGCTGAAAACCATGCAGAACAAGTTCTGATTGGGTCCAAAAATTACATGCCTAATCACTGAGCAGGAAGAGTGATATCCAACTGCTAAAGTGCCTTTCAGCTGTTATCAAAGAGGCTTCTGAAGACTATGGTTTGCTTGCTTACTGTGTCTGTCCATCAGCATGAAGCAGTAGATGAAATAGCTGCACAGATCTAGCACAAAAATCTCAAATAATACTTAACAAAATGGGACATATATTGATGCTGTTGTTAATCAATGGTTAAAGAAAGATGTACTTTTCATTGGTGATGAGGGATTTCTGGAAAAGAGTAACATCTGACATTTCACTGATCAAGTCCAACACAACTGAAATATGAGTTCTGCTGACATTTCTAGTTTGAGTTGGTTTGTTCCTTTTGAGGACAATCAGCCATAAAAGACTGAAGTGCTGAAATTCACAGATACATTTGGACTCAACTTTTCTTTGATAGCTATTTAGGTTTTTTCTCTTATGTTAATGTCTTTTATGGAGATTAGTTCTCCAACAAATTATACTGTAGTCTGACCAAACTTCAAGCACCAAAAGGTCAGTGATTGGCAGATAATTAAAAGTCCCTGAAATAAGGAATCAAAATCTAATTTCGCACTCTATAGATATTACTGACACAATGACAGAACTCATTTGAGATGTTAGACAACCAAAAAATATAGTATTACACTTTAGGGAGAGCGACAATGAGTGCAAAATGTCATCTTTCCTTCTTTATATTTCCCAAGGTGCACTGGGTTGTAAGCTTGTGGAAAAGAGTTGAAACCTTTCCAGAGCAGTTCTGCAAATATTTTTGCTCTACACGTAATTTTCAGCTGCTGTTTGAATAGTGACAGCTGTTGTTCACTAGTTTTATTGTAACATGATTTAGGGCACATGGGTCACAAACAGCTTATAGGGATCTGGTCTTGGACCATTCTAGTGGGAGACTCCAATGAGAGGCTCTGACAACTGCGTGACCTCAGTAGAGCTCAAACCCACGAAGTTCTTCGGGGTTATAAGTCTTCCCACTGGCTGCACAGAATGCTCAGCTGGAAGTCTCCATGAGAATGACAGATTCTGTTTTCTGCTTCTCTCAGGGGACAGATTTGGGTAGCAGGAGGTAGGTGTTGGCTGCTCTAGAAGAATGCAGCCACTGTGGGGTATTTCCAATGTCTGCTGGAACCTGACTGGTATGTGCACACACAAAATACCATGTACCCTCTAGGCCAGATGGGCTGCACTGTGAACAGGAAGCTCTGGGCCAAACAGGGCCATGTAGGCATGAATTGCAGCCAGGTGCAAGATCAGAGAAAAGTCCAAGGAGGGAGATTTGCAGATGCTAATTTATGACAAGCACTGGAACTTTTGCTGGAACAGACAGAAAAATAACAGTCATAGGACTCCTACCCTATACAGGTCTGCTAAGCAACTCACAGCTGCTAATTAGCTCTACAGCAGTAGACTCATCATTCAGTGACTGGCATGGACATCACACTGAGGGCCACAGCCACAATGATTTAACCTCAGCTGACTGTCTTGTGAAGCCTTGATTGTAGTGAAAAAAAGCCCAGATAATTTTAGCAATTATCAAAGTAAGTATAGAGCTCACTAAGTCCTTTTTATATTGTAATTTTGAATATCCTACAATTTCAAAGTTTAAAGAGTCCCCAAAAGCATGAATGTGTAAATATAAACTCTCCGGGGTCAACTTCAACTGATAAGAGTTTGAAACTTCAACTAGCTCAGAAAATTCAAGCTTTGATCAAAGATCACATGATTATAATTTTCACTAGATATACTTCAATTAACAGACTGTATTCTTTTAAGGGTAGAAGAACATGTATGTGTAACAATGATGTCCCATTGCATTTATTCTCATGTACCACATCTGATATTTTTAGCTGATGTTAAAGTCTCATAGAGAAGATGAGAGGGCTATGTATGTGAGGTGGAAAACATGCAGCACCAACAGGAACACTGTCTTCTCTCCTCGCTCCAGGTGGGTCCCAGGGTCTGCCCAGTGGCTCATAGCCAACAGCAAAGTGAAACAAGCTCACAGGCATCTGCTTAGATGTGCAAGAATGAATGGAAGGAAAGACTTCACTGTCTCACCAGAGGTAAGAAACTGAAGATCCAGAGACATGTTCTTCCTTTCCCATTTTCTCCCTATATATTTTACTTCTATTTGATACCTGAAGCAATGCCTAGCCTGCAGTGTGATCTGTGGGGCACTGTGGTCCACAGGGTGCCATGCTCCATTTCACTCTAGAAAGCAGCCACATTCACCCCTAAAGATAAAGCAGCAGCTCAGCTCCCAGAAATCCTCTTTATTAGATGGCTTGTCTTCCCATTCATTATTACCATGACAAGAGGCCTCAATGGAATGAACACTGGACTAAATACACAGCATGAAAAAATAAGGCAGAGGCATCACTCCCATAACAGAGAGGACAGAGTGCAGGGGCACTAGGAACTCATGCACTCAAGCAACCTAGTGTTTGCCTTCTTGGTCACCATAGTGTTGGCCAAGTGTTGGTACAGTGCTGGCAGAAAGCAGACAGACATTAATAGCATGTAGGTAGCATATTTTATCTCATATTGCACTTAAGATACTGCATGCAGTCTCATCCAAAACCACAAAAGCTAGTGCACCTTAGGCTGCATTCAATGTACATGTGAAACTGGAAGATTGTCAGCAACAGTGCCCCAGTGGTGAATGTGGATGTAGAGAACATTCAGCATGACTAAACTTTTCTCCTGGCTAAAGTTCTGCTTTCAAGCCAGTAATGGCTCTGCCAATACTTTTAAAGGAATGTGGCAAAGGTGAGGCATTGGGCCAAGTAGGTACGCACCAACTGGCTTGAATCTATTTTTGCTTGACCCCAGAGGTGTAAAAAATGGAGCAAAGATGCTCAGCTAGGTGACTGAACAGATAAAGGAAGCAGAACCCTAACAAATGGAAAGCACTTAATTTTTACAAAACAGTTTCTTAATATCTGTCAAATAGGTGATTAGCCCTTTTTATTTACAACAAAAAAGTGGTGCTTGATCACATGAGGAATGATGAGTTTATGGACTTGCCTGATTCAAATTTTCTTAATTGACTTGATCATGCATTACTGTGTTTCGATAACTTATTAAGGTAACAACTGATTTGCCTTAGTTTTTAAAACTTTGGTTTTGAAAGACATGTAATATATCTCCAGATAATTGCACAGCATGCTACTGACATACTCTCAGGTTTAATAGCGTTGTCTTACATAACTGGTAAGGAATTTCCCAATGGGAAATTCTCAGTATAAGAAGCTTTGTTATTCATATACAAAATGCAAAGAATAATATTCAATTAGAAGTCAAATCTTAGCTGTTCCCTAGTGAAACATGCTACTTACAGCTACCCTCTGCCCTTTACTAACGCTTCCCTTCATTTTGTACAATTCTTTTAACCAGAGAACTCTTTGGGCTGGATTTCTCTTTTATTAGATATCTCCAGTCTCCAGCCCCCATAAATATTCAGCACTATCTTAATCATAGGTGATGCTACAATTGGTTGTATAGTTGGAAGGTGCAGGTTCCTGCATCCTCCTCCCCACCCAGCCATCAGTGAATTATGTGCATTTTAAGTTTCCTGGGATTTTCACTGTCCTGGCTCTCCCACTTCTCCTTCCTTATGTCAAGAAATCTGGCCAACAATACATACTGGAAGATGTTTTCTATGTTACTGTTTTATGTTACCCATATTAATAGCAAATCATCCAACTTAAAAAGAGGGCAGACTGCTATCAGAGTAACTTGAATCTCATATTAAAATTTTCAGCATTGCAGAATTGTCTGTTATCAATGTTATGATTCATTTGTATGAAAAGACTTACAATTCTTCTGTGAAAAAGGTTAAAAAAAGGAGGTAAAAGATTTTTAAAATAAATTACTTGTCATACTGCAGTATTAACAAAAGTTACCAGATGCAGAGATGGGTTTACAGAAATAAAGAAAAATGTGGGTTCAACAAACCACTAGACAATGTGGGAAAGGATCTTCAAGGTGCTAAACAGACAGACACCCTGTCTGGTTCAGAAAGTCCCTGAGCAGCTGGAGGCAGTGACATTTCTAGGGGAATATCTCCAGATGCTTGCCCAGCTCTTCTGTAGGCCCAGCTGCAGAATGGTGCTGGAGACAAGGCACTGCAGAATATGATCCTCTAATCCAAAATGCTTCAGACCCTCTTCACCTAAACTGTAGGTTCCCTGTGTAGCTCTGCAGCTGGGATTAGGTATTTATGCAAAAGCTTTGGCTGAGGCTTTGCTTGCTTTGAAACGGATACTGATTTGAGAGTACATGTAAATAGTTAACCTTGATTAGTTAAATCAAGGTTTCCTATGATTCATAACCTAATCAGTTTTAACTGTCCTACCCTGCATTTGCTGATGATTTTTGTCCATGGTGAAGAGAGGGTGACCTGCGAGGAATTCATCTCTCCCATCACCACTGTCTGAAGTCTCCTTCAGAGCCTGCAATCTAATGACATATGATTCTCCTGACCAAATGTGGTTGTTTGCTCTAGGACAAAATGCCTCCATCACTTTCACTGGAGCTCTCCATTAACTATATAGTAAGCCCATGGCAACTAGCTTAGGTATAGCTGCATTGCAGACCTGTATTTGTGTGAATCTCTTTCATCTCAGCTAGCGTGTAGCACTGGTATTTACCTCTCAATCAATTGCTAATTGTGAATAAGCACTCTCTTCTTCCTCATGGGCAGGGCTCACTTTCAGTGCCTTTTTATGTATTCTGTATTTATATAAATACGTGCATAAATAATCACACTTGATATAAATGCACTCAGGAGAACAAAACCTACAGCTCATTGTTAGCTCCTACCTGAGAACTCCTACAACAGCAGGTAGACACATGGCAAGAGGTGGAACTGGCTAACACTGACTTTGCTGACACCATGATCTATCATTTTTCCACAATCCTTTCTGCCACATGGGGTAAGAGGGAAGAAGGAGCTATGAGAAGAAAGAGAGGTCTAAAATGGTAGGCAATCTATAAAGCTATAGAAAGACATGTCTCTTATGCCCAGAGAATTGTTCTGCAATGGGAATGTATGGAAAATCCAAGGTTGGAGATGGAGCTGGGAAGGGCAAAGTCCCCAGGCTGTCTAGGGTTTCAGGTCTGAATCCTGAAAGTACAGCAGCTGAGTTATTTCTTTCTTTCCATCTCTCCCAGGCACTCAGAAGGATGGCCACAGACAAAAAGCCAGGAGAGAGTTACTCCTACATCAGCTTGTTTAGGACACCAGTCCTGCGGAAGATCTCTCTGTGTTCTGGGGTCGTGTGGTAAGCAGTGTCTCTTCACATGGGGGATTCATCCTACAGTTCTCCAAATGGATTTCCCCAAGTCCCATCTCCACACACTCCTTGCAGGTTTGGTGTTGCCTTCTCTTACTATGGCATGAGCATGAATCTGTCTGGTTTTGGGCTCAGCATCTACCTCTCCCAGTTTGTGTTCGGCGCCATTGAGATTCCAGCCAAGATGGTCATTTATGTGCTGGTGAACTGAGTTGGACGGCGGCAGAGTCAGGCGTGGACACTGATACTGGCTGGACTATGCACAGGAGCCAACATTGTCATTCCCAAGAGTGAGATGCTCTTGTGCTGTATGCAGTACTTGCTAAAGGGGAGGTTTCCATTCTGTGCAGTGCTAGAGAAGAGGAACCACAGGTCATGTCCACAGGCAATTCTGTATGGAGAAGTCTTCCACCTAAAGGGCATCTGTGGGATGAGGTTGCTAATGTGGGCTAGCCCTAATTACCTGGTAGCAACAGGCAATTTCCAGTCACTGTGAAGCGACTGGTAAGGGTCCAGGGATGCTGAGGTAAAGGGACTATCTTAATTACATACATTGCCCAATGGGAAATGTCAGAACCAATCCTTTCATGAGTTCAGCTCCCACTTGGGCCAATAGCTACCAAACGTACAGACTCAGCCTATGGAGACTGTCTCCAAGGCTATGAAGCTCCCTGTTTTGTCTGTGGGAGCATTGAACTTTCTCCCTTCTAATACATGAAGCCACAGGAAGCTTCTTCCTAGAGGCAACTCTTTGACTATTGTCATAAAATGCCTTTTCTTTCCTTCTAGCCTTCAGCTCCTTGCATTCTGTAGTAGCTGTTATGGGCAAAGGTTTCTCAGAAGCTGCATTCACTACTGTCTTCTTGTACACATCTGAGCTCTAACCCACCATACTGAGGTAAGAGATGGCAGCCACCTGAGCACAGTCCCAGAGCCTTGGTGGGGTATTGCCCTCAGGTCTTTGACATCAGCACAGCAGGACATGCTGTTGGCTAGACTTCAGATTTCCTCTAGAAATAGCAGGTTATAGGGATTACACATACTTACAAGAAAGGGGCAGAAAGTCACCCTTTTCTTCACCTGGGTTATGTGTGATTAGGCTATGTTGATAGGAAGACTTATGGAAAGGTGAGGAATATTATGTGTGGGAAGATTTTTGAGCTCCGTAAGGCATCTGTGCTTAGTAGTCTTAGTTCCCTGTGATGATCTGTCAGTCACTGTTAAAAGACCATGAAAATAATAACTTGAAATATCAAGTTTTGTAAGGGAGACATACTGCCACATGTTTGACCACCTTCTGGACAACAGGTAATATTAAAGCAGTGATTAACTAGCCTTTCAGGAAGAAAAAGAGAGCTCTGAAATACCTGGGTAATGGCAACATAGAACCAGATTTCACATTTGCATAGTTTGGGATATAGCTGAGACTGGTGGAGAGAATCACCTCACTACTTTCTTTGTGAAAGTCTGAATAAACCCTCATGAATCACAGCAGGCCTTGTGACTCTGTCCCTCCCTGCCCAGAATACCCTTCTCTGCCATTTAGTCCTTTAACTTTTGATGGTCTGTTGCACATGGGGAATTAGGCATATTTAAACAAATGTGGTCAAACTGACCTGCTACTTCTCAGATTGGTTTGCATTTTTCATGCTCCAACACACTGACAAAGACAAAATTGTTGGTTCCTTCTGCATAACTTGTTCTGTATATACAGAAGCAGGTCCTGGGATCCTTGTCATCAGTGTGAAATGCCACCCATCCTCTCAAAATTAGTAAGTAGAACAGGTTCCAGGTCTTATTTTTGGCCTTTGCTCCAAGTTGTCCTGGGTTTATTGCTACAACAGGACGAAAGGTGCCCACAGGTATCTTTAGTGCATACCACTTGCCTGGAAGTACCTGGGAGAAGGAGGAACTTGGGTGTGCTCTCAGGATGTTGGAGGACTTACTAGAGGATGATTAGAAAATGCTCTCAGGCTTTTAGACATTTAAGTGAAAACAGCTTTGGAGTAGATTTTTTTTGCGTGGAACTGCAGATTATTTCTCATAATAGACATAAAACTATTTCTCACAGCAGTTACAGTTGCTCTCTGGGAAATATATTGTAGGAAGGCATGAATAAAGAAAAAAAACCCCAAACTAAAAAAACCTGTCAGAATAAAAAGCTGGGAGAAAAAAAGCCTCAGGACTTACAGAAAAATGGGGGGAAGGGACAGAAGTCCCCACTTTTTCCCAAGGTCTGATAGGAAAGAAGTACTTCCCTCTCTCTCATGGTAGTCTGCATTTCTCAAGGTAGTCTACCTTTCCAGGCAGAATGGGATGGGGTACACCTCCTTTGTGGCACGCCTTGGTGGGGCTTTGGCCCAACTTGTTCCTGCTGGATGATGTGTGGAAGTCTCTGCCTGAGGTGATGTACTGTGGTGTAGCAGTGTGCAGCAGCGCAGTGGCCCTTTTGCTCCCAGAGACACTCAATGTGCGCCTGTCTGAGGGCATCGAGGACATAGAGAAGCCACAGTGAGCCAGCTCCATCCTGCCCTGCACATGGAGTCTGCTGAGGCAGCCATAGACACCCCTCTCTGCTGCCTGCAATTCCCCACCTGTAGGTGGCAGGGGATGAAGAGGCAGCCGGGTGGGGATTGGGGCTGTCAGGCTTCCTGCTTCTCTATCAGCCCAAACGTGCTTTTTCTTCCAGAGTGAAAGTGCTGCCAGAAATCAGTGCTCCTGGGGGCATGCCACTACAGTCTCTGCTGAAGTGAGGGACTCCATGGGACGGGACAGCTGCTACATTGGACTGCACAACTAAGCCATGCTCTGATCTGCCAATGAAAGAGCCTTTTCTGTCCATCTAGTCTCTCTCCACAGGGAAGTGGGGCCGAGGGCACTGGAGGAAGGAGGCAGACCACAAAACCAGTAGTGTGGCAAGGAGCAACAATGCAGAGGTCTAACAGGGTATGGAAATAAAGGCACCCAGTGCTAAGCTCTTCCAGTCTTTGGCCTTGTTGGACTACTAGCACCTTTCAGATCAATTCACAGCCTTCCAGAAACTACAGTCCACTGGTTTACACACCTCAAGAAACAATGCAGCAACAAAAATGCTGAGTATGAATTGCACAAAACCAAATAAGTTCAAATAAATCTAACTGGATAGTGGCTAAACCATAAACTGTAGCTACAAATATTTCTTGTCTGGATATTTTTCACACTGAGACCCAAAGCCAGCAAAAAGCACATGCAGGAATCTCACTGGGAATGGGATAACTGCAACCATGTGTTCTACACACAGAGAAGAAAAAAGCTTTTGTAGATTATTTAAATCTAGTGTGTATGCGAGAAGTATCCTTTGAGCTAAATAAACAAGAAAAAGAACCCAAAACCCAACAAAACACAAAATCCACCTTGCTACAGGAAACTTTGCATGGAATATTGTATAATTCATTATTGGACTTCATTCTGCTTACTGGTCTAACGCATTGATCCTAACTTTATGGAGCATCTTTGCCTCTTGCACTTCTGCAAACTACAGAGATGAGCCACCAAATTATCTATAAATTTGGAATCCTTATGCAACAGCACTTTCTCAAATTGAGAAGAGGGAATGGCTTCAGTCTCCGAGTCCCAGGTGCTCTGTGATTCCCTGGGCTGTGAGGTGCTTTAAACTAAACCACGCACAACCCTGTGAAGATAACACAGGCTGAGGATGCATCTGAAAGCAGGTGGAGAGACCCATCCAATCCCAGGTCAAAGAGTGCCTCCTAGTAGAAATAAACTGCTTGGAAAAGTTTTATAGCTTCTATCTCATAGCAGATATTTTTTAATTCTTTTTTTTCTGCCTGTGTATCATGTAACACCTTACCTTGTACTGACAACAAAAGAAAAGGCAAAGTGCAGTTCATGGCCAATCTACTACATATCTGAGTTTCCTCCAGAAAAATGTTCTTGATTGGCTGGAAATACCTCATGATTTATAGCAATCACCATGAGTACACAATGCTGACGTCATTTCTCATACAGTGCCAGTAGGAAAAACAGGACATTAACCAACTCAAGAAATCAGAGTTTTCATTACTGATAGGTTTGTTAAGACAAATCTGATTTGGGGTGGGGAGAATATCTGATTTCCAGGTTTTGAATTTGTGAGTTACCTTTGGTCTGCTGCAGACTCATGAAGAAGACAGAAGTGGTGGTTACAAATAAAAATACCTTTCCACGAACAGAAAGACCAGATTAGGCATCGATGTATGAGGAGATAAGAACTGATTTGAAGAGACAACTAAGTTAAGAAGGAGATCTGTTGGCTCTCCAGTGCCAGTGTCCTATGGCTCAGAGTGCTGCATTACCCCTTGACATGGGCAGAAAGCCAAGGTCTGAGGGGGCAGAGCAGAAGAGGCAACCCTGGCCCATTCTTCACTTGTTGTCCTCCTTCAGCAGTAATTTATCACTCTGGTTTATCAGGATCCTTCTTGAACTGGACAGAGTACCTAGATGCAGTCTGATGAACACTGAGCTGAGAGAACTGGCCCTGCCCTCCACCTCCAAGCTGTGCCCCAGTTTGCAGAGTCCTCGCCGCCACGAGGGCTCAGGGCTGTGCCTTCCAGGTCCCCAGGGCCTCACAGAGCCCTGGCAGCTCCATCCTCTGTCACTGCTGGTTTTCCCCTTCACTCCAAATTTCATGGGGGTCCTGTTGTCTCCCACCTGCCTGGGTCCTGCTGGATGGCTGCCTGCCCTCTGCATACTGCCTTGTCCCCTGGGTCCCTCAAGACGTCTGTACCCATAATGTGGTGACAGCAGCCTGTGTGTGCAGT